ATCCTTAAAATTTTCATTTTATCATTATTATCATTATTATCGTCATTATCATCACAATTCTCATTGTTATTGTCAATAATAAAGTAATTATCATGTAAATCACCATAATTCCCTGAATTAATGTTAAAATCATCAAAATTACCCTTTAAAAGCGAAAAGGGGGTTTCTTCGAGGTTTCTCTCAAAAGGCTAGATTTTGCCGTTTTTTCGACTTTTGGGATTTTTTCCCTTTTACCCTTATTTCATTATTATAATGGACTCTATTATTATTCATCATCATTATTATCATTATTGTCATTATTTTTATTATCATAGTCATCATTATAGTCATTATCGTCATAATTATCATTATCATTATTATCATTATTGCAGTTATAATGATCATTATGCTAATTATTATTATTTTAATCATTATAACTATTTCTATAATGATGATAACAATAATGATCATTTTAGAAATGATAATGGCATATAATAATAATCATAATGACAATGATAATGATATTGTTAATTCTATGTCCATTGTTAGTATGGATATAAATAGAATAGAGTTAATTAGTGCTATTACTGCAGTAATTATCATAATTATCCTTATAATTATCATTTATCCTTATTATCATTATTATTGTCATTATCATCATAATTATCATCATTATTGTCAATAATAAAGTATTATCATGATATCAATGTGAATTAATGTTAAAATCATAATTACCCTTTAAAAGCGAAAAATGGGTTTCTTCGACGTTTTTCTCTTATAAGGCTGCAATATACTAGATTTTCTCGTTTTTTCGACTTTGGGATTTTATTCCTTGTACCCCTTATTTCATTATAAATGGATTCTTATATTATTATCATCATTATTGTCCTTATTTTTATGATCATAGTCATCATTATAGTCATTATTATCATAATTATCATTATTTATTATTATCATTATTGCAGTTATAATGATCATTATGCTGATTATTATTGTTTATTTTCATCATTATAACTATTTCCATAATGATAATAAATATAATGTTAATTTTAGAAATGATAATGACAATAATAATCATAATGACAATGATAATGATATTATTGTTAGTTCTATGTCCATTGTTAGTATGGAAATCATTAGAATATAGTTAATTAGTGCTATTACTGCAGTAATTATCATAATTATTCTTATAATTATCATTTTATCATTATCATTATTATTTTCATTATCATCATAATTATCATCATTATTGTCAATAGTAAAGTAATTATCATGAAAATCATCATAATTACCTGAATTAATGTTAAAATCACCATAATTACCCTTTAAAAGCGAAAAGGGGTTTCTTCGACGTTTCTCTCAAAAGGCTGTAATACGCTAGATTTTGCCTTTTTTTTTTTTTCTTTTTTTTTTTGACTTTTGGGATTTTATCCCTTTTAGCCCTTATTTCATTATAAATGGACTCTATTATTATTATCATCATTATTATCCTTATTGTCATTATTTTTATCATCATAGTTTTCATTATAGTCATTTAAGTTATAATTATCATTATTATCATTATTGCAGTTATAATGATCATTATGCTGATTATTATTGTTATTTTCATCATTATAGCTATTTCTATAATGATAATATATATAATGATAATTTTAGAAATGATAATGACAATAATAATAATCATAATGACAATGATAATTATATTATTGTTAATTCTATATCCATTGTTAGTATATAAATAATCAGAATAGAGTTAATTAGTGCTATTACTGCAGTAATTATCCTAATTATCCTTATAACTATATTTTTATTATTATTATCATTATTAATGCCATTATCATCATAATTATCATTATTGTCAATAATATAGTAATTTTCATGAAAATCATCATAATTACCTGAATTAATGTTAAAATTATCATAATTACCCTTTAAAAGCGAAAAAGGGGTTTCTTCGACGTTTCTCTCAAAAGGCTGTAATATGCTAGATTTTGTCGTTTTTTTCGACTTTTGGGATTTTATTCCTTTTAGCCCTTATTTTATTATAAATGGACTCTATTATTATCATCATCATCATTATTATCATTATTGTCATTATTTTTAAGATCATATTCATCATTATAGTCATTATCGTTATAATTATCATTATCATTATTATCGTTATAATAATTAGAAATAATTAGAATAGAGTTAATTAGTGCTATTACTGCAGTAATTATCATAATTATCCTTATACTTATCATTTTATCATTATTATTATTATTGTCATTATCATCATTATTGTCATAATAAAGTAATTATCATGAAAATCATCATAATTACCTGAATTAATTTTAAAATCATCATAATTACCCTTTAAAAGCTGTAATACGCTAGATTTTGCCGTTTTTCGACTTTTGGGATTTTATCCCTTTTAGCCCTTATTTCATTTTAAATGGACTGTCTTATTATTATCATCATAATTATTATCATTGTTATTATTTTTATGATCATAGTCATTATAGTCATTATCGTCATAATTATCATCATTATTATCATTTTTGCAGTTATAATGATCATTAAGCTGTTTATTATTGTTATTTTCATCATTATAACTATTTTTATAATAATAACAATAATGGTAATTTTAGAAGTGATAATGACAATAATAATAATCATAATGACAATGATAATGATATTATTGTTAATTCTATGTCCATTGTTAGTATGGAAATAATTAGAATAGAGTTAATTAGTGCTATTACTGCAGTAATTATCATAATTATCCTTATAATTATCATTTTATCATTATTATCATTATCATTGTCATTATCATCATAATTATCATTATTGTCAAATAAAGTAATAAACATGAAAATCATCATAATTACCTGAATTAATGTTAAAATCATCATAATTACCCTTTAAAAGCGAAAAAGGGGGTTTCTTCGACGTTTCTCTCAAATGGCTGTAATACGCTAGATTTTGCCGTTTTTTTCGACTTTTGGGATGTTATCCCTTTTAGCCCTTATTTCATTATAAATGGACTCTATCATTAT